AATGCTATGTGCATTCAAATATGGTATCTCTTCTTCTGTCGATTTAGTATTTTTGCAACCTCTACCCTTAATGCTGCATTCCTAGGTTTGTATGCTCTGTCCTTTCCTCCTACCTTTTGATTATAATTTCCCTTATAGCTATCTGGCTCAATTGTCTTGTTTTCTCTCTTTAATTTATCACATCTTTCCATCTTAGATCACACACCCTTCTATAGTAGATTGAAGCCCTGACTACTGCCTAGTGATATGACTCACCAGAACACTGACCTCAGCACAGTTCAGGAAGACACTGAATTGTACAAATTTGTCACATTTTCCAGGAATGGTGCTGGAGTGCCAGGAATGGTGAGCCATTTCTCCGTCACCAATCTTTGAGTGATATATTTAGCTCTCTAGTCTTAACTACCCTATGCCAATTTGCTTGTGGCTCAGAGATCATTATCTTTGAGGTTCAGTTCTGACATTTAGCTTCTAGCTCCTTAAACTCCTTGATTGTACAAACATAGGAATCAAGAGCTGAAGTCGGCCAAACAGTACCTTGAGCTTGCTCCACTATTAGATAAAATCATGGCTAACCTGTTCATGGTATGAATTCCACTTTCCCATCTATTCCTGGTAACTTTTGATTTGTTTTTTTAGATAGAAAAGAATCCCCACAGTGTGGAAACAGGCCATTCAGCCCAACAAGTCCATACCGCCTCTCCAAGTCTCCCACCCAGTCTCCCCAACCAATCCCTCTAACCCTGCATTTCCCATGGCTACATGGCTAATAAACCTAACCTACACATCCCCAGGCAATTTAGCATCGCCAATCCACCTAACCTGCACATCTTTGGACAGTGAGAGGAAACTGGAAAACCCGGAGGAAACCCACATAGACATGGAGAGAATGCGCAAACTCCACACAAACTGTTACCTGAGGCTGGAATTGAACCCAGGTCCCTGGCGCTGTGAGGCAACAGTGCTACCCACTGAGCCACTGTGCTTCTTCATGCGTAACAAGAGTCTATGTCCCCATGCCTTAAAGATACTCAGTGACTATACTTCTATCGTCTTCTGAGACAGACAATTCTAAAGTTGGAAACATCTGAGGAAAAATTCTTTTTCCAAAAAAGTGGACCCTAATTTTTTAATTTTTTTTCCCCTTTTTCTGAACTCACTCACAAGAGAAAACATCCTTTCCATAAACTCCTTGACAAGACCATTCAGCATCTTAGACACTTCAATCAAATCACCCTCACCCTTCTAAATTCCAGTGCTCAGAAGCCCAGCCCTTCCAATCTCTCCCTTAGGACAACCTGCTTACTCACTGTAATCTAGTGAACTATCTCCTGTATGGCTGAGGCATAACATGCTTACTTCCGTGTTTAGTTTCACTCATAATAAAGAACAGAATGGCATTAGGCCTTCTAATTACTTGCAGTATCAGCATACTAACTTTTTGAAATTCATGCACTCGAACATTCTGCATCTTGGAATTCTACAATCTTTCTCTGTTTAAGTAATATATTTCTTTTTCTTTCTTTCTACCAAAGTAAACAACTTCACATTTTCCCACCTTGCATGATCTGCAAGATTTTTAACGACTCTCTCAACATCTCTTTATCCATCTGCATCTCCCTTACGTTCTCTTCACATAATGTCTTAATTATTCTCGCACAAGTTTAGTTACTGTGCCTTCATTCTCCTCATCTAGGTTATTGATATAAGTCGCAAAAACTGAGATGCGAGCACAGATTCCTGTAGGAGTCCACTCATTACATCTTGATAATCAGAAAAGATATATTAATGCATACTCTTTGTTTTCTGCCAATCTTCTATCCATGCTAAACTGTTAATCCCATATCATGAGATCCTACTTTGCACAGTAACCTTTTGTGCAGCACCTTGTCAAATTCCTTGTGTAAATTCAAGTACAGTATGTTGACAGGCTTCCCTTTATCCACTGTGCATTTTACTCCTTAAAGAGCTCCTTTGTTTAAACATGCCTTCACATTCACAAAACCGCGCTATCTTTTCCTGATTACCTTGAACTTTTTCAGTGTCCGGCTGTAACCACCATAATGATCAATTCCACCACCTTGCCCACAACAGACATCAAGCTAACTAGCCTGTCATTTCCTGTTTTCTGCCTTCCTTTCTTCTTGGATAGGGGAGTTGTATTTGATACTTTCCTTCTGTTGGCACTTTTATAGAATCTAGCACTTTTTGAAAAGTTAACACCAACGCATCCACAATTTTATTAGTTCTTTCTTCTAAGCAACTAGGATGAAATCCATCAGGACCTGGGGCCTGTCAGTTCACAGCTCCATCAATTTATTCAGTACCACTTCCCTGTTGATTGTAATTTGAGCAAGTTTTCCCTTTTACCTCTCGATTTACAATAATTACTAGAATGTTTCTTATATCCTCAATAATGCAGAAAGCAGCAAAATCTTTAGTCATTTCAATTGCCAATTCCTTACTATCTACTACTAAATCCCTTATTACTCTTTCTCTCAAGGACCAATGCTTAGTTTAGTTACTCTTTTCCTTTTCAAAATACCTGTGAAAACTCAAGCTATCCATTTTTTAACTTCCAAATAGCTTCCTGTCATATTGTAATTTCTTTCTTCTGATTAATCATTTAGTTATCCTTTGCCATTATTTATATTCTGTCCAATCATTTGACATGCCATCCATTTTTAGCTAACTGTATGTTTTTCCTCAAGTTCAGTGCTTTCCTTACGATCTTCTGTTAACTGTAGATGGTTCTCCTTTCACAACTTCCTTTTACTCACTTCTTGATTCATCTATCCCCGAGCCCAGTGGGCCAGTTCGCCTCAGCTAGCTCTGCTTTCATGCCCACACAGTTGCCCTTATTTAAGTTTAAAATACTAGTCTTAAATCCACTCTTTTACTTTTCAAACTGAATGGAAAATTCAATCATACTGTGGCCAGTGCTACCTAAGTGTCCACACACACTGAGGTCATTAATTAATTCTGTAGCATTACAAAATACCATGTCTCAAATAACCTGCTCACTGGTTGATTCCAGAATATACTCTTCTAATAAAGCAATCTATGAACTTCACATCCAGGCTATCATTTCCACCACTGATTTTTTTCCACGTTTTATCCTTGTCTTTTTAACCCTAACCCTAAAACCATCTACGACTACAACAATCCCTTTGTCAAAGTACACAATATTCTCTTTTGTACACTTTGTGAGACACTGTTTACGGTTCACACACCTTGAGGCCACCTCCACTAGTGACTTTTTTCCAACCACATTTAAGTACAAAGGTTTTAGTTTTGTCTTTGAGTTTTCTTTGTTAACAACTAGTCTTGACTGTTGGTGTATCCTTAGAGGAAATAAAACTATCTCTTTCTGCTCTTCTCCTACCTTCTCTTCCCATATTATTATCCTGTCCTCCTGATCTATTGCTACCTGTTGATTTGCTACATCTACCCAAGTTTCATCTCTCAGCAGCATTGCTAAGTTTAAAGCCCTTTCTACTTCACTAATTATAGTATTTGCTAGAATACTGGTCCCAGCACAGTTCATGTGCAGACTGTCCTATTGTATGTTTCCTGACTGTTTCTTCTGTACTGATGCCAGTGCTCCATAAACCTAAATTGATGTCACCCATACCAGTCTTTATGCCACAAATTCATTTCACTAATCTGATGTTTCCTCTTCCAGTTGTATGTGGGTCAGTTAATAGATGATTAGCCTTGAGGTTCTGATCTTCATCTTGGGGCCTGAGTCCTCATTCTGTCTAAGCAAAACCTCTTTCCTTGTCCCACCTATGTCACTGGTAACAGTAATTGACCATGAAAACTGGATCTTTCCCATTGACTCCAAGTTTCAGTCCAGAGCAGGTGTCATGAACCCTGTCACCAAGTAGTCAACATGACCTTCTGAATTCCCATTCTTGGCTGCACAGAGCAGTGTCAATTCCCCTCATGACACTTCCCCGCTACTGTCACTACATTCCTTTTGGCTCTCTTCACTTGAATGAGTTTCTGTACCACAGTGCCATGGTCAGTTAGCTCATCTACCCCGCAGCCTTACTCTCATCCAAACAAGTACAAAGAACCTCAAACCTTCTTGACAATTTCAAAAACTGACACTCTTGCCCTCTGGGTTCCTTAACAGCCCCACTCAAATTCACACCCTCCTATCCCACCTGGCCAATTCAGAAGGCCCTATCCAAACAGATGTGACTGCCTCCTGGTACAAAATATTCAGGTCACGTTCCCCTTCCCTGATGTGTCAAAGTGTCTGTAGTTCAGCATCCAGCTCATGAACTTTCAGCCAAAGCTGCTCAAGCTGTAAACATTTACTGCAGATGTTTTTGACCTGGATCATCCTGGTATCCTGCAGCCACATCAACCATTCTCATCATGCAAGTGACTTCCTCTATTAAAATGCTATGGTCAGTTTGCTCATCCACACCTCAGTACCTATTTTTATCCATATAGGCTGGAAACAACTCAAATCTGTTGGATTACTGCAAAGGCTGCTCTACCTTCTTAATCCCCTTACCTGCTCCTTACTCAAAGTCCGTCCTCCTGTCCTCAACTACTGCCCAAATTGGAAGCTCCTGTAGTAAACAATGTGGTAGCCTTCTGGAATAAAGCACCCAAGTAAATTTTGCCCTCCACCATGCATTGTAGTGGATGAAGCTTATCAACCTCACTGACTCCGAGCTGAAGGTCCTTGAGCTATAGACACTTATTAGATTGCACTGCACTGCAGGATCTCCTGCAATGTGTAATCACATCCTTTGTTCTGGTACTCTTTTTGCATGTTAACTATATATTTTTTCTCTACTCTACTGCTCCTAATAATGATCTGACATTTAACACTTTGGGTTCACAGTCCACGGCCATACTGCTGTACCATTGTTACCTCGATAGATGTTTGGAATGTACCTACAGCTCATATTAAATCCTGCTGTTACTATGCCACTCCAATGTGTTTATCCTTCTGCCTCCACTCGTAATAATCTCACCTGTTCAAAGAACTCATCCATGAAGTGGTCTCTGTCCACATTAACGCTGACTTCATCATCATCGTCGCTGTCCTTTGCCTGTGAAAGAATAAAGAGTAATAGTCACACATAGTCCAGATTGGGAATTCACCCACTAAACAGGGCGATGACATGCAAGTAAACTCCAAAGATCTGAACACCCCCATTTTACATTTCACTTGAATCATTAACAGCATTTTATTTAACTCCACTCTTCCAGGTTTTTTCATAAGGAACTGATTAAGACCAATGGTGTAAGGGAGACAGATTTATGTCATTATAGGTTCACTTACTGAATAGGGTATTTTGTGTGTGTGTGTGTGTGTGTATGTGTGAGAGACAGACAGAGAGAGAGTGAATGAGTGAGTCAGTGAGTGAAGGGGAGAGGGAGAGGGAGAGCTAGAGAACCTTTCTAGAGAGTGTCCAAGCTGGTACATACCAGTCATTCTTTTATTATTTCATTCACGGGATAATGGCTTCGCTGGCTAGGCCAGTATTTATTGCCTATCCCAGAGGGCAGTTCTACCACATTGCTTTGAAGGATGTATTTCCAGAAACTGAGAATAAAGACATCTGGAATCATTACAGGAGAGATTATGTTAAGAAATTCAAACTGTCATTGCGGTTTTTCCTGTTGACACCAGAAATTCAAGTGCAGCTTATAATTCATTCCACCTCACCGGTTATTAACGTGAACCACTGAGGAGTTCCTGTAAACTATGGTTTTAGTAACGTCAAGCTTGATTCAGGGGTTCTGCTTCATGTCATTTAATCATAAAGACTGTAGGACTGTACAATCACAACAAAAAACACAATCATGTATAGCCCAAGTTTAATTACTGGGAAAGAACACAGATAAATCAACCATTTTACCTGCTATTACAAGTGAAATACAAAGTGGGGCAAAAAATGAGTGCAGGATCTTCCTTTTTAGCCTCAGGCACTTGGGTTAGCTCTCTCGTTCTTGGTGCAGTGGTTCTGTTTTGAGAACTGGATTGTTGATCAATGCCACATTAATAGGCATGAGCACTAAATATTGACAGAATGCTTGACATCTCAGCAATAATGCTTTGTGCACAGGTCTGAAGATTTAGAACCCTGCCAAGATTGCAGCTGACGCAATCAAAAGTCAATCCGAGGATGCTGAATAGGAGTTACAGATGCAGACAAGGTGAAGGGACCTGAATTATCAGTAAAGGTACAATAGACATATGGTCCCTGAATACCTGTAATTTAGCTCTACTTTTGCAACTGCAATGCAGCAGGAATTACATCGCATTAGTAGTACAGCTGCGAGTTTTCAAGGTCAGACCATTTACATGAGGCAGGTGGGTATCCACATCAGCATCTTACAGCACCCATTTTGGGAATAGAAAAGCAAAATATACTCTTGAAGGCCATGTATAAGCAAGTGGAGGGAGGCCAACATGGTTAGAAATTTCAAATCAACCCTTGTTATAAAGCTGATTTCAAGGCTGCTGCCATTGTTTCAAAACTGTACACCACCTCTCCTTCCACTGCAGATCTCTGTCTCTTTTTTTCTCTCTAATTATATCTTTCTGCCCTACCCTTGGTCTCTGAACACCAGCTTTCTTTGCTGGGGTGTGCAGTGCCAGCTCTCCACTCTGTCCCTGAGCTCTGTACACCACCTGCATGCTGCTCTCTGGGGCACAACTGTGTGTAATTACCACATGTACTGCCATTGGAAACAGGATGCTAGCACTCCATCCTGCTTTGGACCACTTTATGACTCTGTTCCTGGGACAATGGGCAACTGACACAACTGTGTGCAGTCCAGATTATTGTACGCGTATCTCCTTGAGACGGTGAAGGATTCAATGTCAACAACAAGAACAAAAACAGAAGTTGCTGGAAACGTTCAGCAGGTCTGATAGCATCTGTGAAGAGAAATAGAATTAATGTCTCAGGTCCAGTGACCCTTACTCAGAACTCAATGCATTGTGTGCATGCAATAGCACGACTCTGCCTGACTGTTAATCTGCTGTGTGTCTGAAAGCTGGATACATACATGTTAGGTAGTTTGCTGTAACTCCTGCTTCATAAATTGCAATGTGTTTTTCTGTTTTAAAATACACCAACCCAGACAGTTAGTCAATCTCTGATGAGCAATTCATTATTAGATCATGAACAATATTATGACATGAAGAACAGCAGTGAAAAATATACTGCTGCTAAGGTTCACCATGCTTGAACGGTCAGAAACCAAGCTAACCTACAGGTAGAACACATGATCAACAATCTTAAATCAAAGTACATGAGACAACTGCAATTTCTTTGTTTATTATACCATCGGATTTGCTGTGGTGTCTGCTTCATAGCTTTTAATGTATTTCATTGTTTTAAATAAAGTAACCCACAGAGTTAATCTATCCTCTGATGGAGGTAGATACGATAAGGGCATTTCAGGGACTTTTAGACAAGCACATGAATGTGCAATGAATTAGTAATATTAGTATTAACATGAGGCAGATTACCATCACCAGGAAGTAAAGTCTAAAAATGTTGACTTTACAAAATCCCTTTAGCAGACCTCAGATTTTATTGTCAGCACTTGAATTTTCCAGTTTTGTAAAAAGATTCAGGTGGATTGTTTGTCGAAAGCCAGCCTTATTTGAGAATTCTGTCCTGCATCCACATCCTTTCACCAGCCTGCCACACTTTATTGCATGCAGATTGTGGACTGGGCTCAGTAGAGATGAAATGGAGTTACATAATTGTGTTGGAATCAGTGCAAAATGTAGCTGAAACAATAAGACGCATTAATGACAGGAACCATAGGAAAGTAAAGATAATGCTGCTTTGTCAATCAATAAAACCGTGAAACTCCCATGCAATCAGAGTGATGAATATGTGACTGTAGCCCTTGGTCTCTCTGCATCATACTATCTGCAATAAGCTGCAACAGAAACAGAAATAGTACACACTATAAAGGTTAGAGGTTAATTGGATCATCCATTAAATTGTTATCAGTCACTCTGATTTAGGACAGCCTGCTAATTAATCTGAAGCAGGGGCAAGTTGGCTGGCTTGTATTTGGAGTCGAAATCAATCAGAATGTAGATACTGAAAGGCTGATCTGATAGAGAATATGGCAGACATTCTAATAACAGCATTCACAGCTCCTTTGATGGCAGCTGTTGACCTCTACCACCTTTAAACAGCCGCTGGTAAAGTCTGTGCTGCAAAGTGACATAGCACAGAATTAGGCATTTTAACCAAGCCACTGAAATCAACCTGTTGGAGACATAAGCAGAGTCACTAACTGATATCAACCACTGAGACCGATTGGCAAACTGAAATTAAACTGATACACAGCCGCAAGACTGCTATTAAACAATGAACATCACTAAATAAAATCAATCAACAACACAAATATAGGGTGGAATCTTGTGCCCTCTCCTGTGATATGTTTGGTGGTGGTAAGGACCTTAATCAGGCAGAAGGGTGTCAAGGTGAGGTCCCACCACCCTCCTGCCTCCATCCCGACGTCTGTGATGGAAAGCATTGTGGACATATTCCTGCCCCACTGCTCACAGAGTGGACGATTATTCCCATTAAAAGGGTCTTATCCCACCGCAGCTGTTATTAAGCTAGAGCTGGGTAAGGGACTTGCCTTGCAGGGACTTCATACGATCTTCCAGACCTACAAACAAAGTAACAGCTTTGCTACTCACTTTCATCTTCCGTAACCCTGCCTCTCTCTCATTCCAAGAGGAAAACAGACCACAACAGGGCAGAAAGGGTCAAGACTGGTAGTGGGCTGTCTGACATTCAGATCCTCATCCTTTGAGGAGAGGATCCTGACTCTGTCTAATGCAGCTGACTGACTGGGTCCAAGCCCTGGACTGGTATCAGAGGAAGCCATCCACTTACTGTGCTTGGACTCCCTCACTGAAAGCTATCTCCCTTGACTTAACTGAGGACAGCTGACAACCATGACAAACTTCCTGGTTTTGTGTCTATGCCTGAACTAAATGGCAGTTGTGTTGGCCAGCTTTCTCTGGCTGAGGGGCAAGATGTAAAAAGTCAAGGCAGGGATGCCTCAGACTCAAAGGCAGACTCAGAGAAAATGAAAGTTAAGTGAGCAACCAAACAGCCCAGAGATACAGCCTGGCCTAGTCCATGAGCTCGATGCATGTGTCTGAGTGCTAAGTGTCCTTACTGCAGCATTATAATAATGGTTGCCATTGCAACCCAAGGTACAGCATTAAAGTACAGAAGTGTCCTGCAAGTGGATCGGAGATGTGCCATGAGGCTTATTGGAAGCTGGAACTTGCCAGATACGAATGTTCGTGGATGTGGGGTGCATGTGACCAGTGCCCAAAGACTGTGCCCTGAGATGTTGATGCCAAGTGACCAACATGGTGGTTCTTTGGAGTGAGGTGAGCTAGAGTGGCCAAGTACCCACTTTGACCTCCACAGCGAGAATTCTCAACATCTAGTTTGCTCACGATGGATGGTGGAATAAAAGTTGCTTTTTAAATGACGCAAAATGTACAGTTAATAAGGTCATTAACGAGAAACCATCTTTAATAGGCAACTCGCTGCTGTCTAGCGCGAATCTCACCTTGACACTCGAAACATAGTTAAAAGGTGCAGGAAGTTGTTCCCAAAGTCAAAATAGGCGTCGCTTCATTTCCCAAGAGAATCAGTTCATTCAGGCCCATGTAAGATTCTGCTGAGTGTCCGGCATTGAACCACCAGGTTCTAAAGAAGAGTCACACTGAACTTGCAATATTAACTCTGGTTCTTGCTCCATAGGTGCTGCCTCACTGCCAGAGATTTTCCTAGCATTTTCTAGATTTATTTCAGATCTTCAGCATCTGCAGTATCTTATTTTTCTTGAAATGTCACTCTGTCCTGATTCCATTGCATGGCTGAGCATAACATACCTTCAAATCCTTTAGCAGGAGGTGTTCATTTTAAATCACTGCCAAAAAATACCCAACTAGTAACTTATTTCAATATAATTACAGACCTAACACTCCAGATTTGAAAACTCAGACACATTGATAACTTCTGTAAAATGGAGAAAGCTC